ACTCTACAAAAAAATGAAACTAGACCAAGGATCTTTTTCAACTAAAGGAGATGCCTACAAAACTGTTAAAATGTTAATTACAAGCCTAGTGAATTCCTTTGTAGTGTATCCGATTGTACCCTATAGATGAGTATACTATATATACATCCTTTGCTGTTGATAGTTACATTTTAGGGAAGTTAAACTGGAATATTGTATTGAATCTGTCAGAAAGATTTTTAAAAAAAATTTTAAACAGTGTCTCAATTTGTAGCCCAAGCCTGGAGTGCAGTGGCACAGTTTTGGCTCACTGCAGCCTCCATCTCCTGGACTCAAGTGATTTTCCTGTTTCAGCCTCCTGAGTTGCTGGAACTATGGATGAGTGCCACCGCAGCTGACTTATTTATTTATTTTGGTAGAGATGAGGTCTTGCTGTAATACTCAGGTTTGTCAGGAAAAACTTTCAGCTTCCCAGCTAGCTGGGATTACAGGCACATGCCACCATACCTGGCTAATTTTTTAATTTTTTGTAGAGTTGAGGTCTCACTATGTTGCCTAGGTTGGTTTCAAACACCTAGGCTCAAGCAATCTTCCTACCTCAGCCTCCCAAAGTGCTGGGATTGCTGGTGTGAGCTACTGAAACTGGCATCAACCCAGGATTAAAAATTAAAAATTATTTTCACATTTGAGTAGTTAATAAGAAGCAGTCATTAATGCTATTAAAAGTTCAGTTAGCTCTTTCTCTGAGCAAACTAAATTTTTCCTGTTTCCTGTGCGATCTTGATGCTTAAAAAAAAAAAAAGATGCTTAACCTAAGGGCAGAAAGTAGAGAAGGGGAGTTAAGTCTATAATAATAAAAATATCACTATCAAAATATTAATAAAAAAGCAAAATATTTTTGCTTTCTGACTGGTAAGTAAAAGACTGGTGGGGATACACTGTCCTTATCCCTACTTTGCACTTAAGGAAACTGGGGCTTGAAGAGGTGAAGTAAATTGCTACACAACTAGTAGAAGGTAGAGCCAGAAATCAGGCACAGGCCTGTCAGACTCCAGACTTGATGTTGTAACTCAGCAACACATCCAGCTTCCTGTGGATGGGTATCAGTAATCTCCCTCACTTTAACCACCCAGGGCTATTCAGTCTTGGGGTTACACATTATTCCTTAATACCAAGGCCAGTGTATTCTCTAGAGAGGTGACATTGTCACAAAAGGTGTAGGGCAAGGAGGATAAGTTCTGGATCCTGACATTCCTAGACCTAAATCTCACTTCATACTAATTGACCAAGTCACTACATCATTATGATCTTCAAATTTCTCATTGTCATTCACAAAATGGGTATAGCAACATATCCTGTTAGGGATTGTTCTAAAAATTAAAGATAATATGTATTATGTTTATAAATGTAGATAAAAGATATGTACATAATGTGGTGCCTGCCATATTTAACAAATGATAGCTAAAAGGTTTCAACAAAAGATTCATTCCTTCCAAAGCTTAACTAATATCATTGCAGCTTATGATTAATTTTAATCTAGATTCTCTTTTGAGGTTTCTAATTTCATTATTTTCCCTTTGGCTACTTCTGTTACCCAAATGACTCTAGTGATTATGGTTTTGTGTAAGAGTCTTTGTAAAGGACAGTCAGTATGATTACTCTCGCGAAGCTCTGTGTGTGTGTGTGTGTGTGTGTGTGTGTGTGTGTGTGTCAGTGTGTGTCAGTGTCAGAGTCTCACTCTGTTGCCCAGGCTGGAGTGCAGTGGCATGCTCACGGCCACTACATCCTTGACCTTCTGGGCTCAGGCAATCCTTCCACCTCAGCCTTCCACGTAGCTGGAACCACGGATGTGCACCACCACACCCGGCTAATTTTTTGATTTATTGTAGAGATGAAGTCTCGCCAAGTTGCCCAGGCTGTTCTCAAACCCATGGGCTCAGGCAGTCCTCTCATCTCGGCCTTCCAAAGTGCTGGGTTTATAGACGTGAGGCACTGTGCCCAACTTCTTGAAGCTTTTATGTAGGACTGCAATGAGGGCTTATTTTTCTAGTGTAAAAGGAAAGAAAGTTTTTTGAGAGAAGAGAGGTTCTCTGAACTTTTTCAGGATTGGAGCGAGGGCTTTATCTCCAGTCTTGTCATACTTTAATATTCTACAATAATTTAGCAAAACATTATGCAAAAATAATTTTTAATGCTTTACAGAGGTCGCTCTGTAAGGATGATAAATGGTTGTATAGATACAAGATAAAGTGTAATTATATGTTTTTTGTAATTAAAAAACAATACTTTATCCTTTTAACTGAAGATTTTGATGAAAATTAATTTGTTTTACCAGCCAGATTTTTAAAAAATCTATCAAAATAACAGTACTAATGAAACTATTAGATGGATTGTATGATTTAATATTACAGTTGTCTTTACTTACTATTTTTTTTGAATCAAAGTCTCACTCTGTTGCCCAAGCTAGAGTACAGTGGCATGATTATGGCTTACTGTGGCCTCGACCTCCTGGGCTCAGGCGATCCTTCTGCCTGAGCCTCTTCAGTAGCTGGGACTACAGGTATGTACCACCACACCTGGCTAATTTGTAAAAATTTTTTGTAGAGGTGAGGTCTCTCTGTGTTGCCCAGGCTGGTCTCAAATTCCTAGGCTCAAGCAATCCTCTTGCCTCAGCCTCCCAAAGTGCTGGGATTACAAGTGTGAGCCACTGCACCCATCCTATACAGTTGTCTTTAAATATGTTCCATTAATGAGAGATAGTCAGATTGTTTTATTCTTTAGTCACTTGTAATAATTCCTGATTTTTTTCTAACTATATGGAGAGTTGTTTGATGAATACTTCATTTCAGTTGTTTAAGTTCATTTTTACCTTGAGGGTACTGGTGTTGGTGTGTACTAATAACTGCCAGTTTTTTGTCTCTGGACTGCTTTCATCTAATTGGTCTTCCTCACTGGTAACATTCTGGTTACCAGAAGATAGAGAAAGTTGGCTTCATCGTCCAATTTATAAGTAGGAAAATATGATCCACTCCTGAAAGGCATACAGTAGAATTCTATTTAGCTACCATAAGGTCGCTCTGTAAGGATGATAAATGGTTGTATAGATACAAGATTTACATACATAGGGTACTGTTGGACATCCACTGTACTAAGAATAGAAGTGCTAATAATATTATAGGATGTACATATTATTTTTGAAATTAGATACCCAAATATGATGGTTATACACTTTGGGCACAGCTGCTAATTGGTATCAAGAGTATAAGAGAGAATATAACAAGATATATGTATTAAACCGGGCTCAGTGGCTCAGCCTGTAATTCCGCACCTTTGGGAGGCTGAGGTGAGTGGATTGCCTGAGCCCGCGGGTTTGAGACCCACCTGGACAGCGAGACCTCATCTCTACAATAAATCAAAAAATCAGCCGGGTGTGGTAGCGCATGCCTGTAATTCCGGCTACTCGGAAGGCTGAGGCGGAAGGATCGCCGGAGCCCAGCAGGTCAAGGCTGTGGTGGCCGGGAGCAGCCACTGCACTCCAGACTGGGCGACATAGTGAGACTCCAACTCAAAAAAAAAAGAAAAAGAAAAAAGAATATAATGTGCCCATTATATGGATATAAAGAAAAGAATATTATGTATCTACTACCCAGCTTTAGCAGTTATTAATCCATAGCCTCTCTTGTTTTCATCTGTATTTTCCTAGCCATTGGATTATTTTGAAGCAATTTCAAAAAATTATTTAAACTTTAAAAACTTTGTCCCTGTATTCCCCTATCCATTGGATTATTTTGCAGCAATTTCCAAAAATTATTTAAACTGAAAATTTTGTCCCTTTACATTTAACAGTATAATTATAATACCATTATTGCATCTGAAAAAAATTAGCAATGGTATCTTAATGTTGTCAACTATGTGGTCATTGTTAAAGTGTCCTCTATTATATAACTATTTTTTAAAGTTATTTTGTTCTGAAGTCCACACATTACCTTTTTGGATATGATCTTATCATGTTTTTCTTCCTTGCAGTTTACTAGTTGAAGAAACTGGGTTATTTGTCCTTCCTGGTTTCCTGTGTCCTGGATTTTGCTGATTTCATTCCATGAAGTTCTTTAGCATGTTTCCCTGACCCCTATATTTCCTGCTAGATTTAGAGAAGGGTCTTTCAACTTCTCATTACTGATATTTTTTTCTGTGAACAACTGTGCATTATAGAATGGTTAGCAGCATTGCTAGTCACTAGCCACTAGATGTCAACAGTACTCTCCTATACCGGTTGTGGTAGTCAAAAATGTCTGTAAACATTGCCAAATGTTCCCTAGGGACAAAAATTGCCCATGTCCAGAACTATTAATCTAGAGACTTGGTCAGATTCAGGTTTAGTTTCTTGGCAAGAATCTTCGTATTGTAGTATTGTAGAGTTTTTTCCCTTTTCTGAACATCACTTTTTATCTCCTTTGTCATATACAGTGTTTTTTTTTTCTTTGCATGACAAAGAGTCTTTACTTTTAAATGGTTATTGATACACCAAGTAATAACATGTAACAAGTTCCTGAATTCTATTATCTAGTAATTTTGATTAAGAGAAACTAGAAACAGCCCAATTACATCAGTATTTATTGTTCTAACCATTAGCAGGAATGGACTACTTTAAGGCTGGCTGCTGCTTCACACAGGTTACAAATAACTGTTTACTACTTTTTCATAGATAAAGCCCCTGACCTTTAAGAAAGTGTTGGGACAAAAATTATTTAATCCCTTTCTTTCTTCAAATAATTGAGGTTTTTTTCCCTAGATCGAACAAAGAAAAAGTCAACACTGATATACATGTTGCTAGAGCCAAATGGCACAGGAAAAGAGACAATATATACCTATAAATAAGAAAGGGATACCTCAAGAAATACGAGGCAAAAAGAGGACACCTTTAGAAAAACTCTAAGTCTGTACAAAGAAGCTAGATTTGCTACTCTCCAAAAAGTGAAGGGACCTACTATGTAATATAAAGAAATAACTTAACACCTTTTCATAGGAGTCAAACTTGAGCTTTGCTAAAGCTTCATATTCTATGAAGGCATCCAAAATGCTGATCTTCCCCTATTCATTTATGTGGTAGTTTTCATGGATTTCTGGACGGATGTCACACACAAAGGCCAAGAGGTTATCCAAGACTTCATCCCTGTTCTGCCAGAAGTAGGTCTGGAGGATGGTCATCTTCTCCTGGGTCTCCTTCTCCACTTCAGAGCTGCAGCTGCCATGGGATCCCAGAGCTGCAGCTTCCTTGGCCTTGAACTCTTTCTTCCTCTGCAGGTGGTACTGTTCAATTTCAGCCTGAGCTTCTTCTTTGGCCTGCTTCAACCTCCTGTTCTTCCTCTTGCGGGCCTCGGACACCTTCTCGGCAGCCCACTTCTCGACCTGCAGCAGCTGCTGGATGCCCTGCGACTGACTGGCCATGGTGGCGGCAACTGAGACCGATACAAGCCCCCTAAGTCGGCTCCTACAGTCTTTTAACTGACTATATATTTAAAATGTTTCCTGAAGCTTTAGAAGCCTTAGTCTGAACATTTAACACTTACTTGAGTATATTATATGATAATATCTGAAATACATTAGTTATTTTACCATTTATTTTTAATTTTAGAAATAGCCAGTATATTTTGTAATTTGATAAAAATACATAGGTACAATATAGAAGGTGACTATGTAATCTCTTAAAATTTTTTTCATTTACAGCCTCCAGGTTAGGGGTTTAGGCTTACAGTTGATAGATGCAGGTGCTTCCCTTTAGTGTAGTATTAACTTGATAAAGTATTAGTTATTTTTGAAGGGGTGATCCTTAGTATCATTAAATAGAATTCCAAATGATTAATGAAAGGGGGAATGCAGACTAAGTGTTATGCCTTGGAGGTTGAGTGAAACATCTAAACCTCTCCATCTCCATCTTCTGGCTATATTAGTCATTGCCTCTCTGCTTTTCTACTTGGCAATTGACCTTGGTCTCCAGACCTCTTAACCGACCCTTCCTTTTCATGTTTTATAGCATGAGAACTCGCTTGCTTCAGTAAGACAGCACTGCATTCTCCTTACTACTTTATCTACCTCCTTTTGCCTTTATTTTTTTCTTAGAAACTCCTCGGTCTGATCCCACACCTCCAACCCTGGCTCAGGTTGAGCTGTCTTCACTCTTCCTTACTTCTATATAAATCCTCACAATAGTTAGATGCAGTCAGCCCTGAGTCAGGCCTCTATATCATATCACAGAAGACAAAATATAATTAAATCCCACATAAATTCGTCTATGTTTATTGAGTACTCCTTCTTTCCTCTCTTCTTTCTTTTCTTCCTCCTTCCCTTCCTTCCTGTTGGGGTCTCACTCTGTCTTCCAGGCTGGAGTGTAGTGGCATGATCATAGAGTGAAACTCCTGGGCTCAGGTGATCCTTCTGCCTCAGTCTCCTGAGTAGCTGGGATTACACGCGCCATGATGCCTGGCTAATTTTTTTATTTTTTGTAGAGACTTGGTGTCACTATGTCACACCGGCTGGTCTTGAACTTCTGGGCTCAAGCAATCCTCCTGCCTCAGGTTTTCAAAGTGCTAGAATTATAGGCATGAACCACTGTGCCCGGCCCTTTTTCTTTTTTAATTAAGTTTGCTTGGAACCTCAAATGTGTACAGTAGGTAATGTTTCATGTTGATCCTTTAAGTGCTCAGCTCTGTTACCAAGATCATAGATACTTTTTCCATCCCATTAATTGGCTTGATTGAGGCATGTTAAGAAGCATAACATTCATTGGTAGGATACAGACTACAAATACTTTTTGTCTCTAAATATGCTTCACTAGTGAAAGTTGTTGGTAATTAAATATTGATTAACTCCTACCTGGTTTTTCACTTTACATTAAACTGAAAAGCCAGAGTATCATCTGACACTGGGCTCAGCTTTTCTCAGGGAGCCTGTTGCCATTTTTGTTAAACGAAATTTTGTTTGGTTATTTTCATGATGCCACATTTGCCTTGAATTTCATTTTGAAGACCTTTACTTTATGGTTATTGGTGGCTTTAAAAATAGAAATTGTTTTGTATTTTCAGGAAGAGTTGGAATTTGATCTCTAATGAATCTTAGAGGGGAAGACTTGTATAGTGGAATTTCAGTGACTTTTGTCCACATTTTCTGCATCGGACATACAGTGTTGTTTTAGCTCCCTTTAAGTTTGCTTTTGAGAACATCTGCTATCACATTAACTTAGCAGAGTGCTACCTGTGTAAAATGATCTTTCTACTATGTCAATCTACCTTTCATTTTTATTCTTCTGACTTTTAGTGTGTATCACACAATTTAACTCTAAATTACATGTCCCTTTATAATTTTCAAGTTCTTTCTTCATATGATTTCTTATTTCCCTAGTTAAATTTTAAAAGTTTTGAAGCCGGATGTGGTGGCTGACACCTGTAATCCCAGCACTTTGGGAGGCTGAGGTGAGAGGATTGCCTGAGCCCAGGGTTTGAGACCAGCCTTGGCAACTTGGTGAGATCTTATCTCTACAATAAATGAAAAAAAATAGCTGGTCATGGTGGCACATGCCTGTAATTCCAGCTACTTGGAAGGCTGAGGTAGAAGGATCACCTAAGCCCAGCAGGTCAAGGATGCGGTGGCCATGAGTGTGCCACTGCACTCCAGCATGGTTGACAGTGAGGAAACACTGACTCAAAAAGAAAAAAGTTTTGAGTACAGAAACTGTGTATTATATCTCTTTTACTGAATATATATAGAAAAGGTTCAGAATGTGCCTGTGATTAATTGACAGATAATTAAGAGCTGTCTGGAATGTATGAATTTTGTAAATTTGTTCTTAGGGAGAATTACTTCAAATCTGACTGTTCCAGAAACTATAGATGTAAAAATCATAGACCCATAAAAGTAAAAGTCATATATCTGCTGTTCAAAATCCCAAGCATGCTTTTTGAAATTGAGAATCATTTACTTTGGTGGACCCTAATACACTCATACTCATATAGAATTCCCCTTGCTTCTCTTTTTCTATTGATTTACTTCTCTAAAACAGTGCATAAATAAATGTACATCAACTTAAATCTTATTTTTAGATTCCTCGGTCATTTATTACTTATCTATATATTTGGTTACTATTTTTAACTAACTTAAGACATGAATTTTACAGGCCCTGATTTACTTCCCTGTTTCTTTGGAAACAAGACTATCTGGTATAAGGAGTCACATCCTACTAGACACGACCTAGAGATGACTGAGGAAATTTTGTTTAGTTATTTTCACGATGCCACATTTGCCTTGAATTTCATTTTGAAGACCTTTACTTTGTGGTTATTGGTGGCTTTTGGAATAGAAATCGTTTTGCATTTTGAATGAAGAAGATGTTGAGTTAAGAGAACTTTGAGGCTGCCTCTGGTAGGTCATGCCTATAATCCCAGCACTTTGACAGGCCAGGGTGAGAGGATTGCCGAGACTAGCCTGGGTAGCTTGGTGAGACCTCATCTCTACAATAAATCAAAAAATTAGCCAGGTGTGGTGGCGCGTGTCTGTAACTCCAGCTACTTGGAAGGCTGAGGCGGAAGGATCACCTGAGCCCAGCAGGTGGAGGAGGCTGCTGTGGCCATGAGCGTGCCACTGCACTCCAGCCTGGGTGACAGAGTGAGACTCCAACTCAAAAAAAAAAAGGAACTTTGGGAGGGAAAAACAAAAATATCTTCTTTAAAAGTTACTTCTTTAAAAGGAGTACCTTACATAGTAATAATTTTAAGTGTTTGTTTTCATTGTCCTGCTCTCAAGTTACTACATTTAGTTGTTAAATTTGAATCCTTGGTTTCAGCTAATAGATATATAAGATAGAACATTAGAGGGGGTGAAACCAGTCAAAGGTTGTGACTGCCTACCTTGTCCTGTACATTTGTGATGAAAATTGAAGTTAGAAAATGTATCAAAAGACTATGGATTTAGAATTTCAGCTTGTTGAGGTGGAAATATTAAGTCGGAAACTGTGTTTTAGTTTGGTTCTTTTGGTTTCTATTAATAGTCACACCCACATTATATCTAAGAATGGAGGCTAATAATAAAAGGATACATGTGAACTGGAACTAAGCCTAGTTAGTTCAGGATTGCTTCAGGACACAGTCTCTTTGATCCTCTGTTTTTCTCTCATCTATCTCCTTTTTTTTCTTTGCGGTCACTTTCACCTTTCCTCTTCATACTTGCTCCATGCTCCTCTTTCTTTGGAGCAGCCGCTGTTTTGCTTTCTCCATCTAGTTGCTGTGTGTGTAATTCTCCTGCCTCTTCTAGCCCTCCGCTCCATCACAACCTTTTAGTTTCACTTCTCACTCGTAACTAATAAACTCTCTTTCAGGGTTTTCTTTAATGTTTTCAGATGTTCAGGGCTCAGCTCATGATTTTATAATCATGCCATATCTACCTTGACCGGGAAGTTGTTATAGAATCAAATGCATAGCAGTTACAGTATAAGAGCCAGTCCCCATATATATTGATCACACTGGTAAAGCTTTCTCAATGTGCATAATCCCAGAAGTTTGCCTTATGATTTCTAAGGAGAAACAAACAAACAAACAAAAAAAACCCCAGAACTCATCTTATGTTTTTCAATGCTAGATAACTGTGAGAGCTTCAGTGTAGACACATACTAAAGAAAATCAAGTGATACTTGAGGCTTGTTAGCACCATGAGTCTCAGCTTACTTGCTTCTTCATCTCATAACAACCAAAAGCTGTTACTGAGTGCCTGTTCTGTGTAAGACATTATCATTTCATGTTTCATTCTTATATTTCCTCTAGTAAAGCATGTAGGAAGCTTGAAACATGTTTTCAGTATTTGGTTTAGATAAAAAATTTGTGTTGGACTGCTTGCAGGTCCAAGCTACTACAGCACAAACCTCCAAAGCACAAGACCTTGGGCAGAGTGGTGCAGGTGTTCTTTGTTTGTTTGTTTCTTTGTTTGTTTGTTTGAGACAGAGTTGCACTCTGTTACCCAGGCTAAAATGCAGGCACGATCATGGCTTAACACAGTCTTGAACTTAAGTGATCCTCCTGCCTCAGTCTCTTGAGCAGCTGGAAATACAGGAACGCACCACCAAGCCTGGCTACTTTTTGTATTTTTTTGTAGAGGCCGGTCTTGCTTTGTTGCCCAGGCTGTTCTTGAACTACTGGCCTCAAGCAATCCTCCACTCTTGGTCTTAGTGCTGGGATTACAAGTGTGAGCTACCGCACCCAACCATATGTTTAAATGGATTGTGTCACCTTGTATACTGATACTTTTTTTAAAAAAAAGATGGCACCTCTCATTTAATGCTTTCTTTAGTTTTCACAATATTACCCCCATTCTTATTTCAATACATGTTTGGTATGCTAGAATTCAAAGCTTAATTAAAACTGCTCAGGCAATTGAAATAAGTTGTTATTGACAGTAGCCTCTGACTGGTGAGGATTCTCAGTTCTATATTTGTAATGTAGA